GGAACTCTTACTCTTTATTTATCTTGGTGTTGCGGATTAGCAGTACCGCAGAGATAACTGAAATATCTATAAATTTTGAACATTATAACAACCGTGATAAAGAAACGACTAATTTTCGAAAAGAATATGCGAGTTAAATATTTTGATTACCCTTAATTATTTTTTAACACAATTTTTTTTTTTTTTAAAAGAAGAGCTCTTATTTTTGATCGTTATCAATAATTTCATTTGTTTATGTGCACTATGAAAATAATATTCTACGCAACTGTGAGATAACTTTTTACATACATCTAATAATTTCTCTATGAAATAACGTATAAGAAAAAAAAAAATCTTTTTTATCGATCAAGAAAGTACGAATTTGCACTACAAAATCCGGTAATGATCAATCCTGACAACGAGCAATAAGCGCAAAGTCTTATTGAGAAGAAATAAATTTCTATGAAGAAACACGTCTACGAAAGACGGACAGTTGGCAGTGTTTTGTGTCATTTTTAATTGGCTATCGGACGTCTATTACGAATCGATGGCCGAACGATGCGACAATGTGACGATGCGGCTACATCGATTGAAGGAGAAGGTAGCTTACACGTTTATTAGAGACTATGGCAGTGCTAACCAATTCAAGTAAAGAATGAACGTCTCAATTAGACAGACTCAAACTTCTTTCGAACTGCCAATCTTTCTCGACAAATCTAAAAGCGTATCGAATATTTTAGAAATATACTTCACACACGGCATAAATAGAGAAATCAAATACTATATATAAGTTTTTAATTATGTTTTGTATTTATTTATCACGAGCAAATTCAAGCGATTAAGAATATATATTAAAATTTTCAATTTGATCTCTCTTCATGAAGAGCATGAATACTTTTCAATACTACGAAGATGGCAAACTTTCTTCTATGCTACTTTTTCTTTCTCTCTTTTTCTCTTGCTTGCTTTCTCTATATAGTTTCAAGCAATGTTTTATTCTTTTAAATGAGCCGGTACAATTTTTTTTTCTTTAAAAACGTAAGCCTGTAAAAGTTGACTGCGCGATTTATCTCGTTTTATTCAATAGATAGCCGTCTTCTCTAACGAGTTATTAAAGTTGCATCAATACAGTGACATCGGTCGGCATCATTTTAAATGATTCTTTGTAACTCCTGAATTTTGATTAAAAAAGATTATCATGTGCATAAAGTAGCTAGCATTAATTTCATAGAATATACGAGGCGTATTATATTAATCGCCATCGCTTGAGGACTCGCACCAAAAGGAAATCCTCGACGGACATCCTGGATTGTTCATTAGAATTTGTACCGGGAAGGACGTTTGTGTTAGCTGAAATCTGTTCTATAATAACTCTCTGTATAGTATGATATTATGTATAGTATCAGTATAATTACTGATATATGTACTATATATATAGACACAGTATAAATGTAACGATGCCACATCGGCGTTCCTCGAATTTTTCAGCGAAACTATTAAATTAATAATTTCTCCCATCTTTGCATAAAATTTTGCTTAAGTAGTCCTTAAGCAGGATTATCAATTTTATAATTATTTTATTTAAATTTTCTAATATTTAAAGCAAAGAATTGCATTTTATAATTTCAATTCATATTTTACAAATTAAAGGGTATTTAAAATATATAATTAATTTTTTAATAATTCTATTTTCCAGAAAATAAATCAGAGAATATATCATAATTTGTATATAGTATGTATAATAAGTACAATTATATACAATATATATAATAGCATTAAGTCAAGACTGAGGAGGCTTTGAGCCTCCTTAAATCATTTCCGTGCAGTGATCGATGTACTGCGTGTGAATAGATCTCGCTTTATATTTCACACGTATTGTATATACTAGAAAGTAGGCTGACGCCGCTGAAAGCCACCTATATTACCACTGTCATAATGATATGTAGTATTCAGCAAAATATATATATATTTTTTTTTTATAAAATAGAGTAAACTAAACACACTTCTCGATGATACACAATGTTTGACAAATTCACGAAACAAATATAGATAATTTAATGCGCGTTTGACGATTGAATGATTTATTAAGAGTTACTTTATCGATTTTTTTTATTAGTATCCCAACCAGCAATTAACTGCTATTTCTGTATCATTAATTATTAACGTTAGGTAACGCATCACACAATATTTACATCGTAATCGACGCGAATATTCGCAGAACTTTACTTAAGTTATTAGAGCTTTGGGTAACACATTCTGTAAACTGGGACACTCTCTGTACAGTTTGAATCATAATACAATATTACGATGCCGGGCTTACACATGGCGTTTTGTGTTTTTGTTCACTGATGTATGCATACGTATGCAGATAGAGAGCTTATTATTGAATATTAGGTATAAAAAAGGTTGAGTCTCGAAATGAGTTAAAGCTGACTAAAGAAAAGCAAAGAAAATTCTTGTTATTTGGAAGAGTAATCGAGCGTTGAAAAACCGAAGTACTAGAAAAAAATATTAAACAACCTACATTAGCACAACATAAAATTGTAACTTGTTATGAAAGTAAAGAGAGAGTAAGATTGATCAATTTTCCACGCAAAAATAACTAAGTTAGCAGTTTTTAATATTGATGATTCAATGTATCTGTAATAGAAAAATTGATTTTTGTATCGATTTTTTATTATTATTTTTCTGCAAGCTTAATTACTTACAATTAATTTATTTAAAGAATCTGCAAATTTAAATGGTTCAAGCTGAGTATATCAAACTAGTGTGAAGATCGATACAATATTGACGTTTATTAACTTATATACAAATAATTATCAGTTTAGAAAAACAATACTAAAAAGAATTTTTTTTCTTATATATGCGCGCGTGCAATAGTTGATATATATTAATATGACGTTTCTCTGCAAAGAGAATTTATATAGAAGAAAATATATTTTAATTACT